TTTGATAGCTCTAAAAAGATGGTGGAGATGAATGTCATATGTACGGTTATAACAAAGAAGCCCATTTGAATTGAGCGGTAAACCGCCCAGGACGGGCGCAGTACTTACGCGGGCGTGGTTTCCTACAAATATTCATAATTTAGTTCAGAAGACTTGAGACTATAAAAAGTGGTGAGGCCGGCGTTGAGGGGAAGCTCGAACGATATTTGTGGGTGAGGAGTGCAACGGCGTGAGCGGGGTCCTTTATGAAGCTTATAATTGGTTTTGAGGCAGCTCAAAAACTGAAAAAAGTGAGTGACAGACGAGGGAGTTCAGGTGGTAGTGGTGGGTTGGGCGCAGGGTGAATAACGGTCGAGGAATTCCTCGACCATGCTCTCTACTGTGGAGAGTAGTGCCGAGAGTGAACATACGCGCGGAGAGCACAGACGGCTCGCGCATGGCGAGTGTGAATGTCCGCGCGGGAGAGCGTAACTGATCAGGCGAAAATCCTCGACGTGCCGTTGAGGAATCCTCGACCGATATTCACCCTGGTTGGGCGTGCCTCCAGATGGCGTGATTTGCCACGAAATGTTATAACTCGATTCTTAGACTGCCCAGAAGATAGAAGAAAGTGGATTAATTTGGCAATGGAGGAGAGGCCAAAAGTTATTGGTAGGCGAGATGTTCACACGCACAGGGCCAAACTAGAACTAAAAATCATATTTCTGTTCGTGGACACAGCAGAAATGAGCGAAGGGGAGATAAAGGCTAGTGGGGTGTGGAGTTGAAGCTAGAGGAGTTTCGTTGCCCTCTTCCATATCGCCAAGGACCGTGTCGTGCGCGCAATAGTGTGAGGCGGCAAGCTGGCTCCTCATAACCTTGAACGATCGCAAACGCTTTGTAAAATGTCCATTCAAGTTGGATTATCATATGGTTGTTCGTAGCACTTGTAAATGGATAGCTTCAGCGCTAGAACTGGATTCATTCGATGGTCGTCGTGATCCTGAAAGATGTAACGCCCTTGTGAATAAGCTTCGAATCTCTCAGGACAGGGTTCTCCATATCATAGGTGAGTTCTTCAACATATCAATGCAAAACAGCAGAACTAACCGGATTTTTTAAGGAGAAATGTTGATGATTGTTTATCCGCGAGAATCGACCGTGCATGTCGGGATTTTCGTGTAAAGTTTTCCTGACGACAGTTATTCATGACAGCCTTCCCGGTAGCGTTCGCGGGTGTGCTGATGGTTAGCCCAAAAATACTTATGTCAAGTGTAATTTGAATGGGGCGGAGAAGGTAACAAAATACGGAAGGATGTGGATTTATCAGAGGTAGAGATAGATGGTAACAGTGCGGGTCTTATTTCTGGTTGCATGTGACGGGTGTTCGATCCGTTCAAGCTTCCGTGTCTGCTCAAAAAGTTTGCAAAAGCAGATACTAGCATAGAAGCGTTGGCAGGTAGACAGGCGGTTGACGAAGACCACCCTTATTCACAACAAACATCTTCAAAAGTCGCGTAAGAAATTAGTGTTCAATGCCTGAAACGTCACTCGAAAGTGACGCGCAGAACACAAGAGGGCTACCGAGTGTGAGCGATCTCGGTCAAAGAAGCTAGTTCAAGTTGATACTTAAAAAGTAGGGTCGTTGGGATTTCTTGAGAACATGCTTATTTGGGGCCGTATGGAGCAAGGCCCGGCCGGGGATGGGGATACATCCCGACGACATCCGGGGCTTGCTGCATAATGTCATTGGGGATATGTCCCCGATCTATATCAAGCGTCGGAGATGAACCCTCTCTTCTCGACCATGGGATATATCCCCGAAGCAGTAACTCCGAAGGTCCTCGGGGATGTCTCCCCATCCTCGGCCGAGGTTTGCTGTATACGGCCCCTGCTGATGGTCTCAATGATCCTGACGGGCCAGTGTTGCGGACTTGGGGTAGCATTGCTGAGATTATCCTAGGATGGGCCAAGGAGGTGCTGGGCGAGACGCGAGGTGGATTCAGAGGAGACAAGGCAGCGTGGTTCTGGAACGAGGAGGTCCAGCGAGTCGTGAAGCAGAAGAAGGAAGCATACAAGCGCTGGCAGAAGACCCGGAGCCCTAGAGGACCTCGCTGCCTACAAGAGTTGCAAGAGGCTCGCTAAGGCAGCCGTCGCCAAGGCAAAGAACACGGAAATGGACGCCTTGTACGAGTTTGGAGACCCGAAAAGAAGAGTTTTGTCTACATAGCTTAATTTATGGCACTGAACTTCTCAAAACATCAGGTCGCTGAAGAGTGTAAAGGAACAGCGACTGCACCATTTGAGAAAGCCAGCCGTAGTCAAGGAGACGTGAGAAGAATAGTACAACGCACTTCTTGAGGACGGCTTCCTTACGAAGAAGCCTACAAGCAGAGGCCAGCGACGGCTGGTAGCAGAGGGTGAGGTCCTTCGAGGAATCGGGAAGATGGAATTCAGAAAGATGGTCTAGACGAGCTACCAATCGAGGCATGGAAGGGCGCTCGGTGCTACGATGAGATGGCTTAGCCGATTCCTCAACAATCGTAACTGCGGAAGGAAGGATGCCAGATGCCTGGAGAACAAGTACTATCGTCCCCATCTTCAAGCAGAAGGGTGACGCGATGGACTGCTTCCAAATGAATAAATAAATAAATAAATATACGCTGGATCAAGTTGACTGCGCTTACATGGAGTGGTCGACTCGGAGCTGAGGGAGTTTGTATTGGTCTTTCTGGGAAAATTTTGTTCAAGTTGCTTCATATAGCCATTTAATGGAATGCATTTATTTGCAAGGTAGTTATTGTGAAGCTAGCGGTACTCCTTTCATAAATTTTCGAGTGATTTTAAATATGTTTTAACGATATTCAGTGCCTGGCGGCCGGGTCCAGTATCATTGACCACGAGTCTGAATCGGATGCAATACGCCCACTTGCTAAGGAACTCACCCGTCACCTCGATTCACTTCGCGACCTTTTAAAGGTACCATGTTTTACAAGCCTTCATGTTTATAATAATTTATTTATGATTACTTTTTGAGGACCAGTCTCTCCGGGATCCGCTCATTTACACAGATGCGATCAAGGAGAGTTTGTTGAAATTCGATCACTTGTTTGCTGCTTTTGAATTCCAGTGAGTTTCTTGCTCATCAGGCAACTATATTTTTCTTGTTACCCAGGAGGAATGGGTAATTTTTTTTTAATTTGTAATTAAATCGTGTGGGAAGATATGAGTACTGACATTCAACTTTTTTATAAGTTGCATAACCCTTTTTTTCTGATTGTTGCGTTAAGCATTCGACTTCTTCTTTCGCGCACATATAACCACTAATTCGGAGAGGAGGACGAAAAGTCGTACAGTTCCCGTGGACTTTCGTTCTTCTTTTTATTGAACTATGAGAATTTTTCAAGTTCGGCTCCGAGTATAGTGACACAAGGTTGTAGTTCTTGATCCGCCGTCCTTTTTCGACCTTGTTGACCAGTAACGACGAAACCTCTTTAATTGTTATACACTTCTTTTCCATAAATGATACGGCTAATGTACTCTTGTTGTAACAAAACTCCTGCTACAGTAGAACTTACTCAAAAATCGTTTAATACTAAGTGGCTGTCGAATTTATCCGCCATTTTGAATATCATCACAAGGAAAACGTTCAAAAGCTGGCAGACGTACAAATTCTAGTGCTCAATTTTTCAAGCAAAGGTAGCCTTACTCATATATTGTGATAGTTTAATGGCAGCCACCCTGCTTTTTTAGTCTGCATTTTATTTATTGCTCGACGTAAACGGTGGCAATCATCACATTTCCTTCTCTAGCGTGTTCTAAACGGAACTTCCGGTTTTGGTTTTTTGAGATAGGGGATCATTTGGAAAAAGCGGCGAAGCATCCTCTGGCCGCTCACTTTAGTCGTGGCTAAGTATTGGTTAATTTCTTATTGAGGCACTTTGTACAGGTCTCGGCCAATGACAGCCGTGTCATATAGAGAGTACATACTTGCTTTTTGATCAAGGTGAACGCAACATTGAAAAGAAACAACCCAGTTTCTCAGAACTTGTTCGGAATTTGGGCCTTTTTTCAATACTTAATCTCTTAATGCAACACCGCCAAATCGATTTGGTGGGGTAAAAGCGGTCGATAACGAAATTGTGGATGCCGAGTTGACTGCAGAAAAGGGACACAAAGAAAACCACCGGTGAAATCCGATAAAATGTGACACTTTTTTCATTTGAACAGTTCTTCAAAAACTCGTGAGAGCCGTTAACCCAAAGTATTATCGCTGCAACAAAATTCACACTAAGCGAATATTCATAATGATATTTATTTAGATATGTCTCGGCCATGGTGCCAGTAAAATCGGTGAGGGAGCATGACGCTCAGTTAGATGTAGCTGTATTATTTTCTGAGGTTCTCGAGCGTGCACTGAGAGAACACCTAATAACCAAGGAACAAATAGACTCGTTTGATCCTATCGTCATGATATGTATTCCAAGGCTGGCGATTGTATGGTAGGTGACATTTATGCGTACATTCTCTTGTGTGAGATAATCTGTAATCATCTTACAGGGGCCTTATTTATTACCCTGAAGGTGCACTTAATGTCGATGGTCCTCAAGAAAACATGTCCGAAATGTTCCGTCCTTACTATAGCTTGCTTAACAAAATTCGAAACCTGTTGCTGGCTCTCAAACCACATGAACTTCTGAAGGTTATTCGATTTGTTGTTGAGCTTGAAGGTGCAAATTAGAAGATCCGAATTACAGGGCACGCCAAGTTTGCGATTAACTAAACATGTATAATACTTTGAAGGTTCCTGAATTTCTATGAAAAAAAAAACGTAAAAATTAATTTCTTGTCTTTTTTATTCTGTTTTTACTTCTCATATCCTCTTCATATCCACTCTTTGAGTGATTTATATAAGGTGTCTGTCGATTGTCGCTCCGTCGATCCCCTAAGGCCGATGTCAGACTTTGCGAATCGCGCGATTCGCTACTAGCGATTCGCGCGATTCGCTAGCGTCCGCGGTCGCGTTGCGGTACCAGCCAATTGAGTGATTCACTGGCCGCGACGCGACCGCAGACGCTAGCGAATCGCGCGATTCGCAAAGTCTGACATCGGCCTAACGGACGCCAGCAACGGCTCCATTCGTCACTGCCGAGTGCCAGAGTGCTCCTATGAATTCGTTCAATTTGAGGGAAACGTATTTTTGCGTCCCATATCTTTCGCAGTGCACTCGAAGAATGACCATCGCGCCATTGTTCTGACATTTGTTAACGAGTTTCTTTGAAATTTAATCAATATCTGCGCTTGTCGGCCTTGTGGGTAGTGGCTGAGTCTTGCTGGGTCATGGGCTGGAGTGAAACAAGTGAAGTTATCCCTGGGAGTTGTTTGCGCTTTCATTCTGAAATTTCTGCCTTATTTCGAGGACTTCGGTTTCAGTCTTTCGGCGAGTATTCGTTAGATTTAGATTGATATGGCTTGAAAGACAACAATGAAAGACCTTCCATGCTGGCTATCCTTATAAAAGTTTTTTTTAACTACGCAGGTCTCTGAATGGCCCTACATGATAGTCCTGCTCACCTTATGATGATCTGAGTGTCAGCGCGTGAGTACCTCGACGAGCACCAATCAAAACGTTCATTAATTCTACTAGAGCTACGCGTTGCATTAACTACTAGAGCTACGGAACTATGATTCGACACTTTTACTGACTATAATCATATCAAGCTCTAATCTTTCGAGATCTTAATGGTCCCCCTTAAAAAACAAATGCGACCGCAAACCTGAACATTATAATGAACCGACCCTCTCACATTCATCATCTCCAGAGACCCGAGCACCCGCGAACTGGTACTCACTTTATTCAGGATGTTATTCGCAAAGATAGCAATGGTTTTCATTTCGACTGAACAAAAAAAGCGTTTCAATCCGCCAAGATATGCGCATAAAAGTCAAAAAATAAGATTCTTGTCAAAGATACAAAAATGCATGCGCAGTCGTCTCTCTGAGGAAAATCTGTCAGCAGTGTTAGTGAAGAGCGAACAAAAGCAGACTAATTATCAGTGATTTAGGGCATACGGGGACCCTCAAGTAGATGTATAGGAGAAACGGGTAGAGTGCTGGCGGAAAATTAAGTATCCGGAATGAGCCCTCCAAAACTCTTACCAGATGCTCGGGTGCGGTACGCCCACTGGGGCTCTACATTTGCTCGGGATTGCAAAGTGATTAAATTTTTCTATCTTTTAACGTCTGCCTTTCTTGGCGAATCCGTCCATGTTCCCATTCACATTCTTTTGCGACCTGCCTTCGGGAAAGTCAATCATACTGCTTTGTCCATTAGTCACCTCTGCGTTTACTTCCCCCTCTCTCCATGTCCCAACATGACACGCACGAGCCCTCTCGAAGATTTCTCAACTGTGGCCTACCCCAGTCCACAAGCTGTTCTAATCCTAAGCGTAATCTTGAAAACATTTGCCAGGATCTTGTAGTAATGTTGTATAGCTAACGACGCTTGACAAAAATTGATGAGGAGCGATTATTGCCTGTTCGGATCTTCTGATAGCATTCCTTCTATCGTTAATCTCAGAGAGTTGACTATGTGCACTTCTTTATAGGTAGAGAAAGATCCTATGTACTGGTGAGGTTCAAATTGCGGAAGAGAAGGATGCGTTTACCATGGAAGCATTTCGCAGCAATGCTGACGGTGGAGAATCTAATGTGCGGCTGCAGTGCAAAAGTTCCATAGCAGATGAGGATACTTACGGTATTGACTACAAAGCATTCTAGGGATTGTTTCGGGACAGAAAGCGACTTTCCGCTTTTCGCAGCGCGAAACTTTTTCGCTGCGGGAACCCCAGGTCCACTATGATCAGTGGTGGACCTGAGGTTCCCGCAGCGGAAAATGTTTCGCGCTGCAAAAGCGAAAAGTCGCTTCCTGTCCTAGCGAAACACACTCGCAGTCCTATGTTCTGAGTAACTATAGCTTGGCGTATTAGAAGGTACCATAAATGCGGAAAACGACAATCCAGATTATATCGGGACAGAGTATGAAGGTGTAGCGATGGAAGATGAGGATCACATCCAAAGCCGTTCCACAGCACGCTCTGGTTCACAGAATGAAATGGGAAATTGTTCGGCTGAGCCGTGGTGAGAACAGTTTACACGTCCCATTTAGTGGCATTTCCTTTTTCAGTTTTTCATCTGTATGAATTTTCAGCATGTCACCTGTTGCACATGAACTGCGCTCGAAATTCCAATCTGCTGATGATCTCATCCATAGGTATTTTTGTGTTAATCTTGAAAAGCTGCGATAATTGTCGCTTATAAAAGTTTTTAAGGTTGTTCGTTTGCATTTCTGGAGTTGCTGATCAACTCCAAACGAATTACTCCAGCGAAGTGCGCAAAGTGCTAAAGCTGACTCTCCAACCTACTGAAGTGATACCAGTATATGAGGTACTAATGGACTGCCAAAATTTGCCTTTTTGTTCAACTTTTCGATGAGCATGCATGGATCCTTCAAAAGCCACTTGCCATGGAGCGCTTGAATATGTATTATATATTAGCCTTCCCATCCGTTTTGTGGGTCGACGGACTACTTGAACTCAGTCCTTTAAACCGCCTCTGCGCTCTCTCGCGGGTCCCTCTCCTCTCCAAGGCTTAGTCCTAGGGCATTCACCCGTTCTCTAATCGTCTGTGCTCTAGCCATCGCGGCAGGACCATTGAGGAAAAATCAAAGTAGTCCCGTAACCATCCTTTCTCTGAATCACACCCCTTCAGCACGTCATGGTAGCTCTTAAAGGAAATCTTCCGTGCTACTAGGTATACACGAAGTGAAATTCTTCCCAGTTTTATGTTTGAAGCATCGTACAGGACAAACAGCTCATTTGTATTATTGAAGATCGTTCTTGCTACAAATAAAACTAAGAATAAATGTAAAAAAAGATGGGGTTTTTCTCGTTGTAAGTAAATTCTTAGTAGCGAATTCTTTTATGTCCGTGATCCGAGGTCAATCGTACTTGAAAATCTGGCCCATCTGCATGTTTTTCAGCATCCAATTGCTAATTTCCCCATGAAGCCTAAACGGCTATGCCAAACCCCTGAAATATCGAGGAAGAAACTGGGATTAGCGCGCAGGAAGCTCTCTCTTTTCCACCTCATTCATAGGTGCAGTTCCATCTGGCTCTATCGTATGTGCATTGTTATGATTTGCTTAATTCCATTGACCATTCAGATGTTGTGAGCGAGTATGGCCTCCCTTTATCGCTGTACAGGGTGTCCCAAAATTATGGGCGCCGAAATTCAAAAATTTGTTTGGCAAAAGTACTCGATTATTCTCCCTTCATTTGCTGATGATTAGTTACACACAAAGGTCCTCTTGTAACCTGTTTGATTGTAGGTGTGAAATCCCTACTATCTTCAGGAGGGCGGGAGGTCTTTCACTGCGACCTGCGATCATTCGCATGCACGAGGTGGATACCCCAATGAAGGACAATGTCAAATATTTTGTAGTTTCCACAAGGGTTATACGGAAGGTTATCCTACGATACTAGGAAACAGCGTCCATTATGCATAGGCCTAAGAGGTAGCGACAAGTGGCGTTCTGCCGCGGATGGTGTCTAAAGTATCCATTCTTCAAATTAAGCGCACATCCTCAGTTTAAGAATGGCGGAGGAGCTGGAGGAATCGAAGTCATCGATGGGAAAGGTAGTCAATGAAGAACTACATAGCCGTTCCTACCATATGCAGGAGTGTCAGCTCATTTTCGATATCAACAAGCAACAGAGGGTCAAAGATTGCAGAAGGTTGCTCACCCGCCTCAGTGAGGACACGCACCCTACCACCCTTTCTTATGAGGAAAAAATTTCCATAGCAGAGCGGATTGGCAATAGCCAGAAAGATTGCATTCCAGGCAGAAATGTCTTCGGGCAGAAATGTCAGGAGTGCACTCCACGCTAAAAGATTGTTTGCAAATCACCGAACTTCGGTCTCAATTTCGGTTTAAAGGAACACCACGTCCAGTGGTAAGGTAAGGGGCCGTTAGTTTTCCTTTGATTTCGGTAATTTCATCAGCAAATCCGGACACTTGAGGTGAACGTAATGAGGCTCCCACGAGCTCCTAACCTTGGGAATTAACGCCGAGATTGTCCCCCCAATTGTTTCACACAGAAAAACGCTCACGCCTAAACTTCACTGGCCCAATGTTCCTCCCAAGTGTCATCTCCCAGTTCAGTACTGCCCGATCTTTGTGCTGTACGCTAGGACATCGGCCGTCATTTTCACCAGGTTCGCGCCCACCTCACCTCTTTAGTGTGGTCGTTGAGCGAAAGTAAGGTGTGTCAAGTTCTTCGTCACAGTTCGAGTCACTGGAAGGAACATTGAAGGAAGCCTGAGAAGAAATAGACGAGGAATTCCTGCGTGCAACGTGCGCGAAGCCTAAGAAGCGACTTCGAGCTTGCATTAGTCGCGTTGGAGAGTATTTCGATATCTAGTTGTTCCACATTGTTGGGGATGATGCAATTTACCTTATGTGTAAATTCAGTCAGCATCGTCCGTTTAGAAGCTTGAAATATATTGCTGTGTGTAGGCGCCCATAATTTTGGGACACCCTGTATGTTTCGTATAGCATACATTATACGTCAATCCTAATTGTTATCTAAACGTAATCATTTTTCGCCGTCTGAGTAGCGTTTAACACCAGATTTGACGGTGGCGACCAGTGCCACTTGTTAGAACTCCTGTGAGTTAAGCCTAAGCTGTTTGCCAGCATGTCTCTGCTGAGAAGTACGCTGCAATCAGCTCCATCACGTCACTTACATCAAAATGTCGCGGCCCTGCCACGTCAATCAGTAGACATCACGACGATAGATAACTTCACTACACATGTTACGCTCATATGTGCGTCCCGAAGAGTAATGTGCGAACTTTTCGTTCATATCCTTCAAGCGCACTTATATTTAAAACAGCGACTTAGTCTCACCACATTTACTGGGGTAAACTGAAATTATTACCCGAATAGTGGAGCCCGTCGCTCTAGCGTGATGCCAACGGCGAAACGGCTCGGCGAGGGACAGCGGATCTGTGTGATGGCGGTGGTATTAGCTACACCGTACATATGACTGAAGGTCATAAAATATGGCAGCTGCCTTTGCCCGCTGACCGTGTCTGCGTCTCTGCCTATCTCACAAACGCGATTACCTCCTGTCGGTGCCCAACATAGAGTGGAACGACACTGGGCAATGTTTTTTTTGATCAAAAGATGTTCTAAGATGTGGTTTCTTCTCTGTTTTCCCTCTAGTATCTTCCTGGTCTCCCTTATTCCATCTATTATGCTCATTTTACCGGTGTTACTATGCTCAGTTTTTCTCGATGTCAAATTCCCAAGTTTTTGGCGCTCTGTTTTTCTACAAGGTCGTGGCGTCAACTTCGTTTTTCGCCTCTTGTATAATAAAAGTGATGTCATGCATCGTTTTTCCAACTTGATCCCTTTTGTGTCCCTTTTGTGGATTATCGACAATTTTACTGGCGCTGTTGAAATGAAGCTTCCAGCAGCTTTTTCGTCAAGCGGTACTTCACTTCTCATCTTGCAGGTGTTCGATGGGTACCCGACGAAGATTGTGAGCAATGTACTGCGTGTTCTGCTGCTTTCACTGTTGTACGTAGACGCCATCACTGTCGAAACTGTGGTCGTATTTTCTGCCATCGGTGCAGCAGGAACAGCATCCGTATTCCTGAGTTGGGATATGATCGAAGGGTCAGTTTTCCTTTGACATCGACTACTACGATACCGGGTGCGTCATGGAACGCTGATCTCAAATATGCCATCAACATCTGCTGATCAATCATTACGAGGAGGAAGTTTTTGTTTTCGCGCTGTCCTGCTTGCAATCACATGAAAACGCCTCCGTAAGTCGAACGAAAGGGCTAAAGTTGTGGAAATAGAACACAGCTTGTAAAGATATCGTCAACCGTACTATCCATGGTGATTGAATTAAGGTGGTGTGCCGACTCACAACCTATCATCGCAAGAATTGTGTAAAGCCAATCAGCCCGTCTTAATATCGTACCACGAATGGCTATCTAATTCTCCCGATTTGAATACAGCAGGATCTTTTATTGTGTTCGATATTCAAGCTGAAAGGGCCACGCATTCGCAGTTAAGTTGGCTGGGTGTGGGATGAATTTCTGAAGGATATATAAGGACAGCGAATATTTACTCGTAGCGCCCGATTGACGGATGTTATCTTGATGGCGAACGGTTTTATTCAATAGGAATCACCAAGAGTTTGTTCATGTGTGAGACCTGTGGAACGTGTTCGGTTTGAGCTTCCGTTCATAGTCCCTATTCATTCGTCTTGTATTTTTCCTTAATCTGGAGATCTTATTAAGTGCTTAGAACCAGCTTCACAACAAAAAAAAAAGAAAAATAAGACCATTGGGCATAAAACACCGGCTCGACAATGCGAGGCTTCTGCACTTTGTGTCGTGAGGCAGCTTTGAAAGTTAGGCAGCCAGACTACGCAACAGAATTCCCAACATCCAAACTCAAAAATTTCGAATACCAAGAAGTTCTAGAAGTTAACTTCCCTCAATCTTCTTCTGAAGACGCTGGTGTTGGTAACATGGGTCTCAGGTGGCAATGCTTGGATCCATCTTGCACACAAAAAATAGAAAATTGAAAACTTGATTTTGTCTTCGTGGTTAATTCAGTCTTCATTTAGAACCAGACTCGAAAATGCTTGCGCGCTTGCAAGGCTTGTATGAATCCTTCACACGGCCACTCTTGCGCATTCTTTTTTGACATGAATGTGTCAGTTGTGATCACTGGAAACAGCACACAAATTTTCACGCGCATGAAGATTCGTTGGATTCATTTCGAAAGAGAAACAAACGTACAAAAACTACACTCTATGGACAGTCGAAAGTAATTCGGGCGGAGCCAAAGGCGAGGCATGGAAAAAGTTGGCCTTTGGCCGGCTACGTGAAAGAATTGGGTTAGAGCGCGCAATTTCGGAAAGTAGAGACAAATCGATCGATAGAATAGGATGGAGTAGAAGTGTAAGATGTGAATGCAATAAAGCAGAAGGCCAGAAAGAGTTTCTAGTGAAGGCACTCCAAGAACCAAGTGGAAGCATCCCGTCGCCAGCATTTGTGACAGATGTCCGGCGGTACTTTGAACGCGTAGCAGCCCTTTTTTTTCGAATTTTTTACCAAAACAAATGCATTTTTTTGTTCTTTTCGTTCTTATCGTGAACGATGGGTCCCAAGCCGGTGATTTATGGCGGAATTAAGGACTGTGAAGCAAAACTAAGTCATTGAAAACACGTCGGTAAAGAAGCGGTCTCGCCAGGACTGGTGCAGGAGTTCACTATAGTCCAGGATATATATATTGACTGAGCAGAGCTAGGATCACATCTGTGCTGTACAATTTTGAATGTCTCCTGAACTTTCTCAAGCCTCATTTGCCGTCTCTTAGAGTTGGGGCTCCAGATTTGCGATCCCGTACTCAATTATCTGAATGCTTTATATATGTGGATTCAAAAGACTGTCTCATAATAGTGCCGGGTATTTCTAAAAATAGCAAATAGGGCACTGAACGCCTTACGAAGCATCAAAGTAATATGGTGTTCAAAATCCAAATCTGTGTTTTTGAAGTGAATTTTGTTTGGCACATTCGTATAGGACTGGAATCGTCTTTTGAAGGTGAATACGAACAAGCTAAACTAAAGCGTGCAGGCTAGTACTTCCGCAAAGAGAAGCCAGAATTTTTTTCTAAATTTTTGAAAAAATTAATTAGATTTTTGGCAATGAGAATGACCCAA